ATTTTATTTTTAATAAAATAAATTGAATAATTTGAAATTTTAATTTTATTTTTAATTTACTAAAATTATATAAAATTTATTTTATTTTATTTTATTTTAATTTAATTTCATTTGAGATTTTAATTTTATTTCAATAAGCTTAGGATAATCCCAATCCTGATCTTATCTATCTTATCTTGAACTTCTGTCCCCACTACTACAAAATTATAAATAGATTACACCTTTTATATGTAATGTATGTTATTAAATAAATTGAATAAATTGAAATTTTAATGAGGTGATGCCAAATCTAACAAAACTTTCAGGTCTTGATGAAGTGATTCCACTCCGTTGGGGATTTTGCGGAGACTTGTGATTGAGCATTGAGGCTCATTGGATGTTTATGCGTTTACAACTGCTGAGCTTACCTTTTTGGGAAATTATTCCCCTTATTTGTAATCAAGGCTCTTGCCTCGAAAGGTGTAAGCTTTTAGAGCATTTTTGTTTCATATGTATTGTTAAATTCTCAAATCTTACAAGTATAGTACATGAATGTAAGCTCTTATGAGAAATTTTATGAGAACGATAATATTTTCTTTAATGTGTTAATTCATACATAATGGAATTAATTGATAATATCCAGAGAATATTTAATAAAATTGATTATATAAAGGTTTATAAGTTTAGGGGCGTTCCAATGACTGACATTCCGTTTGGATCGTGAGGTGAGGTGAGGTGAGAAAATAAATAATTGTGGTTTCTCACCTAGGTGAGAAAAGAAAATAAATGATTATGGTTTCTCACTATTATATTTGGATGAATAAAAGAGAAGATGATGTTGTTTCTTACCTATCTTGTTTTAATAGAGTAAATAAGAGAAAAGAAAGGAAAATATTGTATTTTATTTTATCAAAATAACATTCCATATTAATAAGTTACGTTTTTTCATAAGTGTAATTTAAGTATTTTAGAAAACTTTCATTAAACCCAATTCTTTTGTCACGAAATCTCACAACTTTTGATGAGAAATAAAATATAGGTTTGGTGAGAGTCCTTTTCTCACAATCTTTTATTATTTCTCATCATTTTTCACATACTTAACCATTTAAATAAGTGAAGGAGTTTCTTATTCTCACTATTTTCTTTTATTTTTTCATCAGATCCTTCCATCCAAACATAATGTGAAGGTAGTTGTCTTGCATTAGGATCGGTTGTTGGAAATGATTTTTGGCAATAGATAATTAGCAATAAAGTGTGGTGGTTTAAGACAATTTTTGGCCATCAAATGTGGATGAGGTGGTAGTCGGTGATGGATGGCATCGACTGAAGGTGATTATCAATTGTAAAAAGTAGTTGCCAGAAGAGATAATCGATGAGATGGACGAATGTGATGGGCAATGGAAGAAGTGGGAAATTACAAACAAATAGAAGTAAATTTTTGTCTTACAATGATATATTAAATTTTGTAAATTATTTATAAATTTGTTTAAAATAACAATAGATATCAACAGAATTTTTATTTGTAATTTTTTAAAATTTTATAAACATAAACAAATTAACTTGTAATCATAAACCTAGTCACTTTTTTGCACTTCCATCATGAGGGGTGGAATTGTGTAGGGGCCGGAGGGGCCCAGCTCTCTCCGATTTTTAACAATTTATTAATAATTTTATATTTATGAGTATTTAATGTATAATGAGATGACTTTTAAATTATACAATAATTATTTTCTAATTTTTTATTTCATTGGTATTTTACAATGTCTAATGAAATAATCTTTAATTATTTCAAATTTTGTATAATAGCATCAATTTTATTGATACAAAAGATGCATGCCACTTATTTTTTAAATTTGAAATATCAAATGGTATGTACACTTTTTTATGAGTAATGCTAAATAATCTAAAATTTTATACTTAAATTGATTCACAATGACATGACATGAGGATTAAGTCTTAGTTGATTTATTTTTAAATAAATCAGCTAACTTAGAACATTCAACGCCATTGAGTGTAAATTCAAGAGTCATATTTTAGGGGTTTTAAGGCTTCGTTTGGGAACATGCTAATTTAGTAACTTTTTGACTATTTGGCTAAAATATGAGCTAAAAAAATTAGTATGTTTGGGATGACTTTTTGACTTTTTACGAAAATATGTGCAAAAAGTAGAGAGAAAAAAGAATCTTTGACTTTTTAGTATAGGTTATTGACTTTTTGACTAATTTAGTAACTTTTTGACTTTTTGGCTAAAAGAGAAAGTTCTCAAACGAGGCCTGAGTATTTTTCACTTTTTATTAGATTACATCAATCAATAATGTAACTTAAAACAGTGATTTAACCGGTTGAATACTGAGATCTAATGGTTGAAAACTGAAAATTTTATTTTTTAGATTTATTTAATTTTCTCCTAAAATACTTCTTTTTCAATAAATTATATTCATTTAGTATGATACCAAAGTTAATTCAATATTTTTAATGCATATACGTTTGCCACTATCAAATAAATTTCTTTGTTCTGCCCTATCCATCATTGAGTGTATAAATAATGTTAGTCTTATCACTTTCGTCTATTTGTTAAATAAGGTTGTTAAATAAGGTTGATTGAGGGAATGGACTTTATGATAACTTTGAAGCTAACAACCTAATTTTTAAGTGTATTCCTTACCAAATCATAATATTTATCGTTGTTGCATTGCAAATAATGAAATAAAAAAAAATAAACAAAACAAAATTTATACACATGGTTAATATAATGATATGGAAAGGGAGACCATTAAACAATGGCATGATTAGATATAAAATTACTTTAAAACTCTGTTTTTAATAGTTTCATTTAAGATCATATTATTAATGAAATGACGAGGTACATATTTAATATGACATTTAAAGTGTAAAAAATTGATTAACATGGCATTTAAAGTGTTAAAAATTGATTGTAACTCAAGTAACGTTTCAGAAGTAGGCAGCTGTTGGGCATGTATATATTTTTGTTTTTAATTTTTTAGTTATTTTTTATATTATATAATCTCTCTTATCTTTTCATGTTATCAAATAATTGTATTTGATATGTTATGATATGACCAAAAAAAATAAAAAAATGTAATTTCCGCATAAGTAAAACAGTGAGGATAATGGGCCCGTTTGGGAACAGGTTTGGCCATTTTGAAAAGGCCTGTAAACACAATAAAGAATGCAATAGACAACATTTAGAAAGTTATTTTTGGACAGATGTCTGTCATTTTTGATACGTTAATGTCTTGTTCAAGTTTTATTTAAAAACTTAGGGGGGGTGTTTGGGAAGATTTATTTAAAAACTTAGGCGGTGTTTTGGAAGCTCAAAATTGTTTTTTTTTTTAAAGTTAAAATCTATAAAAAAAAATAAAATAAACTAAAATAATTAATATGTCAAAATATCACATCAAACTCATAATCATTTCATTTTATTTTCCTTACAAATATCACATCTAAATATAAAAAATAAACTATTTTTCCAAACATAATATTTTTACCTACTAAAATAGTCAATTTTCCAAACAAGGCCTTAATGAGTTTAAATTTGTTCAAATTTAATTTATTAATATAACGTCTAATTAGAGGTGTAATTTTGGCCCGGTCCGGCCCATTCGGGCTAGGGTCGGGCTTTGCGGGCTACAACAAAAAATTGGGTCAGCCCAGGTCGATCCACGGGTCAGAAAACTAGGCCCAGGCACAGGGATATTCGGGCTTTGGACGGACCTAAACAATTTTTAAATTTTTATTTTATTTTTTCCACCAAAAATTTATTATTTTTCATTAAAAATAACACTAGGCCTCGGGCGGGGTGAGCTTCAAAACAATGACCCAAACCCTAGCCCAAAGCCTCAGGCTGGGTTTGGACTCGGGCCTTAACAGGCCTGGCCCATCTCAAGCTACGGGCGGACTTCAAACCGTCTGCAGACCGAGCCAAAATTACACCCCTACATCTAATCTGAATAGACTTTTTGAGTATGTTTAGCAAGTTCAAATTGTAGTCCAAAAGAGATATTATAAAAAAAAACTGCAAAGTCATCTAAAAAAAGTCAAAATTATTTAGGTTTGGCAACAAGCCAAATAATCTGTTTATGAATTTATTGGTTTATTTTTGTTACATTACCTTTCGACTTTTTTACATGTATTTTCGTAAAAATTCAAAATTAAAAAAAAAGGTCATACCCAAATTCAAATTTATTTATATTTTTTGTACTTTTTTTTTTAAAAAAAAAGAAATTATTTTCAAACACTTGAATTTTTTTCACCTCATATTTTATTTGAAAAATAAAAAAGTCACTTCTCAAATCAAACATCACCTTGTTTGATTTCAATTTTCTGAATTTACTTTTTAGAAAATTAAAATTTTTATTTTCCGTATTATTTTGTTTTCACTGATTTTTTTTTATTTTAAGATTTTATTTTAAATTTTTTTTAGATACACCCAACATAAATATACTTAAAAAGTAATATTTATGTAAATAATCTTTAAAAAATTTACTAAATACAAAAAAAACCAAAATTTAGTACATTTTCATATTCTTATGTATTTATCATTTTTTCAAATATTTTTTTTATAAATATTTTACTTTTTATATATATTTAAATAAGGTGCATCTAAAAAAGTAAAAGATTATTTAAAATTTTAAGAATACTTACTAAAAATAAAAAATACGAAAATTAAAAAAAATTAATTTAAAAAAAATTGAATTTATAAAATTAAAACTAAACAAGGTGAATAATAGTTTGGTTCATTTACAGTTTTAATTGTAATAATAATTTAATTTTGAGATAAAATTGTAAAATTTATTTTTTTTTAGATAAAATTGTAAAATTCACATAATGAAGGGGTGTAAAATTCACATAATGAAGGGGTGTATATATAAAATAAATAAATAAACTGTACACAGAAGTACCCTTCCCTAGCTGACGCGTCTCGGGTCTATCTTGTTCGCAACTCCCAACACGTGTGCACTCTTTTCCCCATATTTAATAAATTCCCAAATTCGACAGTCGTCTCTATTGTACTTCTTCGACAAAGCGTGGTCGAACCCAACCACACCTTTTGAGAAAAGCCCTAATATTTATACATCACAGACTCGATCGTCGGAGAAATCTCACATTTTCCGATTATCTCTCGCCGGAATCCTCAAATCCAACCCAAACATCACCGAAAAAATTGCCAGACTGGCCTCTGCCGACATGTCAAACTCAAGAACAGCCAAAAAAACCTAGGTATTCGAATTTCTCGAGCTCTTTGCCATGATGTTTTTTGAGTTTTAGGGCTTTTAGTTTCATCCGAGGGTATTGGTTCTGAAATTTCATGAATTGGAACTAGTGCATTGGTATATGCTGCTTTTCAAGCTAGTTTTTGAAATTGATTGTTGAAGAGTTGACCTGTCTGATCTGAATGTTTGGGGGTTTTGATTTCTTAGCTTGTTTAGAGTGATTTGTTTCTTTTTATTGACCAGGGTGCTTTGATTTCAGTAGTATACAAGAGCTGTATGCTTGCTAAGTAAGAAAAAGATGATAATAATAGTAATTATTTTTTATATGAAACAAGGGAAGAGATAAAAGCAGCAAAATTTGTTGGATCCCAAGTTTTTAGCCTAGATTTGCTTTGATGAGGCTTTATTAGATCTATGTTAAAGTGGACGTGGGTCATTGATGTTTATATGTAGTACAAAGCATGGGCGTAGCCACCGAATGTTGATTTTTTTTATTTTTTATTTTTTTTATCTAGTATATGTAGAGTTTATTCAAAGTTTCGGGCTTTCACAAAGTGAACCCAGTGGAATCAGAAAACACAAAAACAAATTTATCGGTTTCACAAAATGACCCAGTGGAATAAAGACAAACACACATAATGGCAAACTTTTTGCGTCTTATAAACTAACCCACAGAAACTGAATATCTCAACCCACTTAGAAACATATGCAATTAACCTACTGTTAGTATTTATTGAAGGTATATATGTAGCCAAATTTGTCAGATATTGATATTTGTAGAATCATTTGCATTTTGTTTTGTGCTTTCGGGTGTTTTGAATTTATTTTTGGTTACATATATGGAAAAGGAAGGGTTTGATAACATAAATAATGAGGTTATCATGTAGTGATATCCGAAAATGAAAACTCTCTGAGGACAACTCAGTTGTAAAGGTGTAGACTTTGCTTAGTTTTGTTAAAACAATTGTATTATGCCCTAATTTTTATTTTTACATGTCTTTTGACAAGACTAAATTACTTTTGTCGTTGTAATTGGAAATGTTCCAAGTGTAGTATGTGGAAGGAAGTTGATTTCGATAGTGTATAACTAAAATTTTTAAATGGTGACATTGATGATAACTTGTTCAATTACTCCACTGGATGAAATTCCTGGCTACATCACTAGCAGTCTGGCAGAAAGTAAATTTTCATCTGAATCTGCGGCTACTTGATGTTGATTGCCAAAACTATCTGCATGCTTGATTGGTTTTATAAGTTGGTAAAGGCAGGCTGCAATTAGAAACATGTGACGTTGATGGAGGTAAAAATGGTGGGTAAGCAATTGTTGGCCATAATTATGTCATTTAAGAATAATGGTATCTTATATGGCGTGTTCTTTTTATTGAATAAATAGATTGAATCAACTAATAAATGCCTTAATTTGATTACACTGTCGATGCAGGCTATGCAGTCATTTGCATTGTCTTTCTAAGATGACAATATGAAAGATTATGTTGATTTGGGGGCATTCCTATTGTCTTTTATTTAATGGTACATATTGTCTACTATGACGTACGTGTACGGGTACACCAATAGGTTAAAATTTTTAAAAAAGTAGGATATGGGTGGATAGGTTTGTAAAAAAAATATTTATTTTTAATTTGAAGTAATGAAAAATTTAACTAGATGATTTAGTTTGTTAAGACCCAACCTATAATTTGCACTTAATGCTAAAAGTAAAGGTATAAACCAAAATTAAATGTCATTATATTATTTAACTTAGAAATCATAGCTTAATTTTTAAATTATGTTAAGCATAAAAAAGAAAAAGAAAAAAGGAAGTCTAATGAAATTAATTATACCTCTATATTAGAAGAACATGCTATTTCAACTGAGGGCTTGGGTATATATTAGGTATGTTTGGGTACACTAAAAATTAAGAAGAAAAAATTTGAGTTTATGTTTCATGTACTCTATACATATGCAAAAGTACCATATGACGTTCCAATACCCATCAAGTATGCAGTGCAGGTACGGGCTGTTTGTTGAAGTACCCATGCTTCATAAATTGTCTACCATTTGAAAAGTCAAGAGCTTTGTTTTTGTTAAAGGTGACTTGTTTGCTCTGCAACACTTTTCAAGTACTGATTCTATAACTCAATATTAATTTAGAATATTTAGCAAAAAGTCTGGAGTTGATGAAGCTTCATTTAGTATTGGTTGGTACTTTGTAGTTCTTAACTCTAACTTAGATAGTTTATGCTGTTTGGTTGAGTTTTCAGAATTTGTTTCCAAATTTTTTTCAAAAACAAGTTCAGTTGAAAAAAAATAAAAAATAATCATTATTTTCATATGTTTTTCTCTTTATGGGGCATAAATAATTTTTGAAAATTATTTTTTTTTTAACGGTGTATTTAAAAAAAAAAAACTAGTTTCTAATTTTTCAAAAAGATTTTAAAAAACAAGTTTTGGAAACTCAATAAAATATGTAAGGAAAAAGTTTTGCATGTCAAAGGTGAGGCATGAGTTGTTGTGCTTGGGTGCTTAATGATTTGGTCCCATGTTGAGACATGATGAGATGAATGTAAGCAAAAATTCATTTATCTTTAACTTGGAGATTGATATATAGAGAGAACAAAAATTGTCTGATCTCCCCAAAAAAATTCATTTATAAAAGGCTTGCTTTCTTAAAAAAAGAATTCTTTTGTTTGGGTGAACCACATAAATCTCTTATGTTTCTTGTTGAGTGTTTGATCTTCTTGCCCATTTTTAGATTAATTGTGTGTGATTGTTTACCCAAGTCGTGGAGATTGGTATTATTTATTAATTCCATAACAGAGTCTTCACACGCTCATTCATGGGATCTATGTTCAACACCTTTTTTTTTTCTGTTTTCAATTTTGCTTGATCATGCTTGGTTGTTTATAGTCCTTGGTTGTTGAGGTAAATGAGGGCAAAAATATAAAATAATTAAAAATATAATACCTAATAATTTTAAGATGTAAAATTGTATAGCATAGGCGCTGTTGAGTGTTATCATGCCTACCCATTTTCAAAGTTACACTCTTGTGCTATTGCTCCTGCTCCTCAAATTGGTCTAGCAACTATTCTTCAATTTCCTAAAAAATTGGAAACTTTTCTTTTATCTGTAGAGATGAATGGAGGGAACCACAGTCTCTGTGGATATTCTCTGCATATCTTCTTGTTTACCGATCCCTTCGTCTTTGTCTTTGTTACTACTATCAGATACTAGACAAAGCCATCTGTTGACTCTTTAATCCATCTAGGGGTAATCTCTAACATTAAACTTTAGTGCTTTTTATCAACTCTTTATGTGATAATTTGATAGGTCAATGTGAATGGACCTGTGGGTCTTTATACTTTACTATTTTTATGCAATATTTGTGTTAAAACCTATCACCTACTTCACCCACTTAAACCTACTCCACTAAACCTAACCCACTACACCACTACCACCTCACCTACTCCACTAAACCTAACCCACTACCTAAGAAGCATGGACACGGACACGTGACACGACACGAGTACGACACGGACACGCCGACACGTTAATTTTCAAAAAATGCAGGACACGACACGAGGAGGACACGCATGAAATACATAATTTTATATATTTATTATATGTTATATATATATATATATATGAATATATCATTCAAAGATAATAAAAAATGCAATATGACACTAATTTTTATAAATTTATATGGTTTTTATTTTATTATTGTATCTTAAGTTATTTTGTTCAAACTTATAATTAGTTTTACGTATGTCTAATCGTTAGACACGTGTGTTTAAACGATTGACACGTGTGTCTTTCAAGAGTCCAAAGAGTGTCCAAGTCTTTAAACAATAGGACACGTTTTGAAGAGTGTCGGACACGTGTCCTGAGAGTGTCCAAAGAGTGTCGGTGTCCGACACGTACCCGACACGGATACGTCACATTCCTAGAAGTGTCCGTGCTTCTTAGCCCACTACACCACTACCACCTCCACTTCACCTACTCCTTACCTACTACACACTCACCCTCTTCTATATATAGGAATCATGAATCATTGTAATAGATATCAATATAAATCAATCAATAATACATACAATTTATTCTCTCTCTATTTCTCTTTATACATTAAATTCTACATGGTATCAGAGCAAGGTTAAGACCTTAGTATTTCTCGCTTCACCGGCGGGCGGCAACCTCGCCTTTATAAAATGAGTTCTAGGGAACTAACTAGGACTATTTCAGTTGGTCAACACTCCTACTGCAAGTACACCACCTTGACATGTAAGTACAATCTTGACATGCGCACATTGTGGTTCTGACCAACGAGGCAGCTCAAAAGTTGATGGATGGAGCCGACCTTTTCTCCCACTCAAATTTTTTTTTTTTAACTAGACAACATATCAATTAATAACTAACTTATATAAATAGCAACAAAAAGCTTAAAGATGCCATTAATCAACAACAAAACACCCTCTTTTTTCGATTGGGTGATTTAGAAAGGAATATTGCAGTGTAGCAACTAACATGAAGACCAAAAATTGCTGCAGCCACTGCAAGTTCAATGTCAGACCTCCTCATCTTATATTCCCTAATTTACAATGTCAATTCATAATCTAAATACTACATTGGTGAGATATTTCACTGTAGCTTTGTACCATGTTGTTCGAATTGGAGATTGATATATAGAGAGAACAAAAATTGTCTGACCTCCCCAAAAAAATTCATTTATAAAAGGCTTGCTTTCTTAAAAAAAGAATTCTTTTGTTTGGGTGAACCACATAAATCTCTTATGTTTCTTGTTTGAGTGTTTGATCTTCTTGTCCATTTTTAGATTAATTGTGTGTGTGATTGTTTACCCAAGTCGTGGAGATTGGTATTATTTATTAATTCCATAACAGAGTCTTCACACGCTCATTCATGGGATCTATGTTCAACACCTTTTTTTTTTCTGTTTTCAATTTTGCTTGATCATGCTTGGTTGTTTATAGTCCTTGGTTGTTGAGGTAAATGAGGGCAAAAATATAAAATAATTAAAAATATAATACCTAATAATTTTAAGATGTAAAATTGTATAGCATAGGCGCTGTTGAGTGTTATCATGCCTACCCATTTTCAAAGTTACACTCTTGTGCTATTGCTCCTGCTCCTCAAATTGGTCTAGCAACTATTCTTCAATTTCCTAAAAAATTGGAAACTTTTCTTTTATCTGTAGAGATGAATGGAGGGAACCACAGTCTCTGTGGATATTCTCTGCATATCTTCTTGTTTACCGATCCCTTCGTCTTTGTCTTTGTTACTACTATCAGATACTAGACAAAGCCATCTGTTGACTCTTTAATCCATCTAGGGGTAATCTCTAACATTAAACTTTAGTGCTTTTTATCAACTCTTTATGTGATAATTTGATAGGTCAATGTGAATGGACCTGTGGGTCTTTGTACTTTACTATTTTTATGTAATATTTGACTGAATATAAAAATTAAACCATAGTTTCTTTCCAGGTATTCTTCATTCATTATGTCTTGTTTTGTTTTGTTTTGTTTTGTTTTTGATAACGAATATTTTACATCATTAAACATTTTGTACTGCATCTTTTATGCAGTATGTTTTGTATTTCTGGTTCATTGCAGTGCTGTGTTACTGATCCATTGATTTGAAGCAAAATCTATTCCAAGCCAGAGGTGTCTGAACTGCAAAACACAACAGCTTCTCATCCCAACAGAAGAAAATGGACATCAACTCTGTTAGCAATGTTTGTTCATTACATCCTCAATTTGTTTTTATTGTTTTTACTTTATGCATATGAGGATTTATAGCATGTTATTTGTATTACATTAATGTTAACAGCGATCTCATATTCATTTTATGGGCAAATCTTAATTCTAAAACAATAACTATTTAAGTGATGTATGAGGTGGTAGATTAAAATTCTAGTTCAAAGAATTATTAAGATTAGTTCAATCTGCAACTTACTTGGAAAGGTCTCCACCAAAAGCTTCATTTATATCCAACTGCAATTGGAAAAAAAGAAGCCCCTTTTGACTCTACATTTATGAAGTACACAGATGTAGCACAAGGAATAGTATACAGATGTTGCCCTTTTTGATATAGTTTCTTTGGTGATGTGAAATAAATCCAACCAGTGACGACAGCTTGAACTTGCTTGGAGAGGTCTCCACCAAAAGCTTCATTTATATTAACTGCAATTGCAAAAAAGGAGGGATGGCCGTTAGTTTAATGGTTAAAACTTGGCCTAATAACCTTGAGATTATGGGTTTAAGTCTTGAGACTACCACTTTGTGCATTGTGCCAAAGGTTAGATGTGTACTCAATCTCTCCCCTCCCAAACACACATTAATGTGTACTGATTGGGTGTTGGGTTTTTTTTTTTTTTTTGCAATTTCAAAAAAAGAAGCCCCTTTTGACTGTACATTTATGAAGTATACAGATGTAGCACGGGGAATAGTATACAGATGTAGCCTCTTTTGATGGTTTCTTTGGTGACATGAAATAAATCCAACCAATGACCACGTGATGTCTTGGGTTGAGCAAATGATGACACAAGGTAGCAACGGCGAGATGGGCGTGGCGAGGGGCGCCAATTGTCTTCTCCAGTGACTACTTTTGTTGAGGGTTCTGTGATGGCGATAGCAGAGGAGTGATGAGCACCAGTGGGGCGAAACAATGGCGATGCAAAAAGGCTAGGGTTGCAATGGCAGTGGCAACATAGGTTTGAGGGCTTGTTGTCATATTTCTTGTTTTGAAGGGAGAGGGAGGAAAGGGAAGAAAGAACAATTCTATGGACATTAAAACTCTTACTAAAATTTTTACTAATAGTACAAGAAGCCAAATATGATTGGTTGTCAAAAAAGCAATGACACTTGAACATCCTATGATATTTGAACAAATATGCTTTTAGTAAGATTTTTAGTGCATGTAGAATTGCTGGGGAAGAAGGGATAGGGATCGGAGCTGAATTCTGATTCCGAACTGACATAGCATGGGGAGGCAGAAAGAAGGGAGAAAATGGCAGAAACAAGAGAGAAGAAACAAGGGTCACAACCTTATGCACAACGGCCATAGCCTTAACAATTAATTTTATTAATCTGATTTGTACAAGGCAAACTCTAATAATTGGTAGCTAAAAAACCCTAATCAAAATAGGAAATTAAATTCAAATATTATTTGAAAACTTAATCCCGAATAAAATAAGATACCAAGTAATAGTAGAATTCTGAATTAAACTATGATTAAAATAAATAAACATAATTTAAAAAAACATAAAATTATAAAATTGGGATACCAAAATTTGTGCCTGTACATTCCGCATAATCTACCTTCCCCTGTGGTGATATATAATATAAAGTTACTATTGAAGAAGCTAACTGGGAAAAATTTCACTTGATTAATCAAGGAATTAGTGCTCCATAGCATGGTTGGGGATAACACATTTTATCAATATTCTTATTAAATGTGCTTTCTTTTCATTTTTCAGCCCAACATGGGTGATGCAACTGGAGACATAAACTCGCAGAGTCTAGAGGGATCTCAAAATGTGAAAACTCTGGAGTGTGAAAGTGGTGCATCCAAACAGGAGCAAATGTGCTTTAGCGAAAACTCTGTCAAAAAGGTTTGTACACAGTGTACCAGAGATAATTTTGGTAGATTGCATATTTTTACATTTGCTTAATCAGAGATCAAGCTCTGATTCTACAAGTGATATCTAGGCTGTGATTCTGAGGCTTACACCTGATGGGCTACCTCCAGGCTGGATAAAAGAAATCAGAATTCAAAGAAAGGCAAATAAGACTAGAAAAGACCCGGTCTGAATCTCTTCTTCCATACTTGGGTCATATTTCAATTCAGTTTTGCTTGTTTCCTCTTTCTCTCTCTCTCTCTTCACACACACATGCACCATGTGTGTTACTGTAGATTCTGCATTTTCACATATCTTGCTTTGGTTTCATTATCAGCAAATTGGAGCTTATGAGTTCTATACTTTTAGTCCTTTCAGAATTTGAGACTATATTTGAATCTTGATGATCTAATTACTACAGTACTACACGGATCCTGTAAGTGGATATGTATTTCGCTCTGAGAAAGATGCTTTGCGCTATCTGGAAACTGGAAACTTTAGTACATGCGCTATCAAGCCAAAGAAGAGGGAGGAACTGGAATTTTTAAATGGAGAGACTTCTGTAAGTGTGTGTCTTGCTTGGTTCCCCAACAATACTTGCTTTGTCATTTTTTCTGTAGTTGGTGATTCTCTTTCAAACTACTCTCAAAACTATGTCTGGGCTCTGTTGTTTGTGCATTTTTCAGCACATTCACCGAGGTTAAACTGAAGGAGGATAAGCATCAGTTAGCTTATGAATATTTTGTGAATGGGCATAGTTTTTTGATTTGGTGCATATGTGGATCTGTAGATTGTTATTTGCATTACATATCAAATATTTAATGTTATCAGCTATGAAGCACCACCACTTCAAAACAAGTGCCGTATTCGCGTCGGTCACACAGACACTTTGGGGACACACGGACACAGTAGGGAAACGCATGTGGCGTGTCCCGTTATTTAATTAATTTATTTTTAGGGGACACACCGGAGACACTTCGGGGGACACTATTGACATGCCAAGTAGTCTTTTTCCCTATTTTCTTTAGTGCTTTTGATGAATGTTGGATGTTTATTATTTTTTTTTAGATTTAAATACTTAATAGATCATTGATAAAAAAAATATATAAACTGTTTATAAGTGATTTTTTTTAAAAAAAATAAAAAAATATAGAATTAGAGTTATTTTTGTTAATATTGATTGTTTGTGGATGTAATATTAATCTAAATAGGAAATAAAATTTGAAAACATATTTTATTGCTATGTCACCGCCGTGCCTGTGTCTCCATTTTTTTGAAATTGCCGTGTCCTGTGTCCGCATCTTCATCCATGTCTGTGCTTTCTTAGGTTATCAGCAAGGTCATATTCATTATCAGGTTGAATCCTAATTATAAAAGAATAGACAATATTGCAATATTAAGTGATATTATGAGGTGTTAGATTAGAATTCAAATTTGAATAATTATAAAGATCAGTCCAATTCACAATCTGCTTGAAGAGATCTACAGTAAAAGCTTCATTTATTCTTCCTGTAATTGGGAAAAATTCATTTTTTTGGTATTACCTTTATGAATTCTACCTTTTCCTGTGTTGATTTATGCTAGAGATTTATTATTGAAGAAGCTATCTCGAAAAAACATTATGTGATTATAACAATGAAGGGATTATTAGTGCTTCAATCATGGCTAGGGTTAAACATATTTTACCAATAATCTTATTACTTGTGCTTTCTGTTCAGCCTAACATGGGTAAATTAAGTGGAGGAATAAGCTCTTCGAACCTAGAGGGGTCTCAAAATGTGAAAGCTCTGGAGTGTACAACTTGTGTATCTGAACAGAAGCAAACGGGGGTTACGATGCAGTCTGGAGAAAAGGTTTGTTCTACAATGTACCTGAGAAAACTTTGTTGGATTGCATATTACTACATTTGCTTAAGCAGAGATCGAGCGCTGATTCTTCAAGTGATATCTAGGATGTGATTGTGAGGGTAACAACTAAGGGACTACCTCCAGGGTGGATAAAAGAAATCAGAATTCAAAAGAAGGCAAATAAGACAAGAAGAGATCCGGTCTGAATCTCTTTTTCATACTCGGATTCCATTTCAATTCAGTTTTTTCTTGTTCCTTCTCCTTCTCTCTCTCCACAGACATACATCCACTGTGTGTGTTGGTATAGATAGTGCATCTTCACATACCTTGCTTTGGTTTGTCTTAATTGGAGTTGTTGAGTTCTGTACTTTTAGTCCTTCCAGAATTTGAGACTGTATATGAATGTTGATGGAGTTCTAATTAATACAGTACTACACGGATCCTGCAAGTGGATATGTATTCCGCTCCCAGAAGGATGCTTTGCGCTATCTGGAAACTGGAGACATTAGTAGTTGTGCTACCAAACCAACAAAGAGGGATGAAGTGAAATTTTTAAATGGAGAGACTTCTGTAAGTGTATGTCTTGCTTGGTGCCCCAACTAATAGTGACTTTCTCATTTTTCTGTAGTTGTTGATCTCTTCAGTGTTGGTCTTAATTTCTTTGTTGTACTGAACTTGCATTAAGAACTATGATTGGCTGGTGCTTGTGCATTGTGTAGCTCATTCTTTGAAGTACTTTTTAAGCTAAAAGAGGATAAGTGTCAGTTTTAGTGTTTGAATATCTTGTGACATTCAAAAATGTTTGGAAATATGAAATAAACACTTTGTCACCCAAGCAGAAATTCTTTGAAGCAAAATTAGATTGTTGATAGGATAAATACAAAATGCAGAAATGCCATAATTAATAGATATAGTGTGCTTTAATACTATATTGGTACATATGATATGCTATGTAGGAGGGTCTAAGAACAATGATTAATTGGAAATTTTGTGAGATTTGATTAGGGTGTCTATATTGTTTAAAATTTGTCATGCATATGTTTTTTTTTTTTTAACAGACCCACATCCACACACACAATGCATGCATGCACACATTTCAAAAGGAGTTAAAAATCTGTTTCTTAGTTTTAAATTGCGTGGTGCACTTTATTGCACATCATGTGATTTTTGCCTAATTCATGTTGCCGTTTTGAAAATTGTAACTTAATTTAAATACTCACTATAGCAATTTGGAACCTTGTTGCGCACATATGAAAATATTCATCAATACAAGGAAATGTAAACAAATTTTGCTAGCACTTCATTCTTAAGAGTGTTATTTAAGTTGTTTGCAAAGGTTTAGCATTATATAACATATGATCATTTAAGGACTTCACTAGGTCTGCATGAAGCTCCTCTGTTATGTTTGCTCATTATATTGGATTCCTGGCATGTTGTTATTTTTCCATTCTCCAACATTAATATGCAGCCTATTCGGATGTTCACCAACACACGGAAATTGTAAATCTGATTTTGTTAGCACTGTATTTCTTAAGACTGGTTTTTTTAAGTGTTTGAAATAAAGGTTCACCATTTTCATCATATGATGCCATTTGAAAACTCCAGTTGCATGCTTTAATTGAAGCTTCTCTGTTATGGTTGCTCATTACATTGGATCCCTGGTGTGTTGTTTGCTCCATTCTCACCTTTTTTATTGAGCTTGTTGCTTCATTCTTACCTTTTTTATTGTGCTTGTTGCTCCATTCTTACCTGATACTGTTTTTATTCTCCATAAGGGTGTTGTCTTATTATCCTTAATCCCATGAGCTCGTTCATGAATATTTGAAAACCAAATACCAGTTTATGGCCTGGTGTTTTGTATATTGCAACAATTACCATATGGACGTTAACACCTATCTATAATTCAGTTTGGCACTTTCTACTATTATTGAGTCATTAAGACATTCTGATAGATGAAAGTTCTAATTACTGAGAATATCCCTTTTGCCTGTTTTTGTCTGTCAATAGCTTCCATCTGCAGGGCACTATACAAGCAGAAGACAACTTTTTACAGGTGAGAGACCAATGAGTGATATATGCATATTACTGGCTGTGTTTAGTCTGCCCAAGTTAGAACAACTCAAAAGGGTGGTTGAGTATCCAAAACAAATGCACTTCATTGCTTCTGATGTAGACTTTACTGCGGCAGGTACAGAAAACAATGCCCCGAGCAGCATAGAAACAACGGATGCTGAGGGCTCGCAGAAAAGGCAATGCACGAGTGTATCTGCTGACAATGGGACTGTTTCCACTCCCTCAACTGAGATCTTACGGGAGGAGAATCTGGAAAAGGAAAGTATTGAAAATAAGCGCAACATAAAAAGGCAGTGCATACCCAAGGTTAAAAAAGAACTTGATTTGCCTCGTCGGTCTTCAAAACGACTCGAGGAGCTCAAACTCAAGACGGTGGCCAACTGTGTGTTAAGCGAAGAAGCTCATGGAGCTGCAGCTGGAAAGTCTGGTGAAACTGAAGTGAAACCGTTGCAGATGATTTCAACGCAGATTACAGATCATGATTTGAGAGGCACAGAACTGTCAGACATTAATGAGAAGCCTTTGGAGGACCAAGCTGTTCCAGAAGATCAACCAGCAAGGCCAGAAACTGAGATGACAGACCAGGAAAATCTAGGATCTGAAGTCAATCCATCTGGGGATTCCTGGTCCGATCCGTGCCTAGAATTCGCATTTAAGACACTTACAGGGGCACTAGCTGTTGAGAATAATGTTGCAACAACGCAAGGTTATTTCCAGGAACAAGTCAACACCTCTCGTGCTCAAACTGATGGTAGTTTAGCACTACCAGAGTTCGGCATGCCCTATTTACCCAACTTTTTCCAAAGCAATACTTCACCGGGTTTTGATGCGCCAGGGGGGAAGCCTGTATCTGTACCTCAGTTGCCAATGAATCCTACCTATGTGCCTCCTGGACAACCTAACTTGGGAGGAAACAATGAACACCAACCAAGAGTGAACTCATGAAAGATGAGCTGGCTAGGGTTTTTCTTGTTTTTGTCAAAACTATGCTGCCTCGAGAATCAAAACTGAAATGTCATTTTGTAGATATAAGACTCTTCTAGCTATAGAGACATCTGGTTTTGTAGAGGCTTAAACTTAACTATTGTGCATTATGTTTTGAACTTGTGGATTTGTGCTTTTAGTGTTTAACTGTTTCCTGTGTTGTAATGAATACTTTCAGAATTTGTGATCTGTTTTTGTGAGATTGATTAGTCTTGAACCTTGATGCTTGGGATGGTTGCTAGAGAAGACGTGAGATAGTTGAAATAGGTCAACCAAAAATTTGGTTATTGGTAAATTATACTTTGTGCTTTTGCAATTTACACCAAATCTAATTTTGGCCGCGACACATGAAATTATGACAGTTAATTCTCTGTATTTTTGGTTAAATTTTACTCGTCCCTACAAATGAAATCATGATAGTCAATTCAAAAACTTTTGGTCAAATTCTATTTTAGTTAAGTGTTAATGTTTTATTTTTTATTATTCTATTGTTTAAATCTTTAATAAGATTTATTTGTGACAAAAATGTAGTTTAAAAAGAAGATTAAGAGAGAAAAATCATTCTTATTTTTCAATAATATACACTTTATTCTAAAATTTACATCAAATTATGACTGTATTAGATTAAAACAAAACAAAAAATATAAACAATTGAGAAGATGAACTAAGATTTTGCATAAATTGAAATCATGGAACTTAGATTTCCACAATAACATAGTATTTTACCCATTCCTCTTCCTTTCCCTTCAATTTCACTATTGCATTTTTTTTGGTTCAAAAATTCTATTTGCTTGCAAACACACACACAAATATATATATATATATATTATATTATATAACTCTCACGTGTTTATCATATAGAACAAAGTGTGTATTTATGAGAAATGTGAATGATTTCTCTTTTACCCTCATTTCGTAATTACATTTTTGTTACATGCCTGTATTCTATTAAATATTTAGACAGTGTAGTAACAGAATGGAGACATTGACACTTGTGTAGGGACCAAAGTGAGATGTAACTAAAAGTGTAGGGGGTTTGATTGTTAGGGCCAAAGTGAGATTTGATCAGAAGTTCAGAGGGTTGACTGTCATGATTTAATGTGTAGGGACCAAAATAGAATTTGGTGTAAAATACAGGGATACAAATTGTAATTTGCCCTTAGATTCTTAAATTTCTGGAGAGGGGAAAAAAAAAAGAAAAGAAAGGAAAAAATAATTTGTGTGTTTAGTTTTAATTTTCTGGATTCAATTTTTTTGGGAATTTAGTTTTTTATTTTTCGTGTTTTTATTTTTATTTTTAATGAATATTTTTAAAATTTTAAATAATTTTTTTTTTAGATGTACCTTATTTAGATATATCTAAAAAGTACAATATTTATACAAAAAAAAAAACCAATAAATAAACAATAATATGAAAAATGTACTGAATTCTCGTATTTTTTTAAATATATTTTTGGTATTAGTAAATTTCCAAAAGATTTTTTTTCACAAGTATTATACTTTTTAAATATATTTATATTACGTGTATCTAAAAATTAAAAAAAAATAGAATATTAAAAAAATTCAGTCAAAAACAAAAAAACAAATAAAATTAATTTTTAAAAATGAATCCTAAAAATCTAAACCGAACAAGTGAATCTAATTTTTTCAGTTGGCTATTGTAATGAGTATATATAAAGTAATACTATGGTCATGTAATTTTTAACAAGTCCAAGATATTAGAATCTCTTCAACACAAAAGCCTTTAATTAGATGAACGGGTCAAAAAAAATTAAGTAAGTGAATTAAGTAAATGAATTTTCTCATAACAAATGCATTAACTGCAATGTTTTGAAAATCAGATGAAAGGGTCACTAGTTTAACTGTGGATGAATTGGAATTGAATAGTGATATTATAATTGTAACGCTCCAATTTTTTTTTTTTTTTTTTTTGTAAATCATAAAGATTTAAAATTACAAAAATAATAAATAATAAACAATTACAAAAAAAGAATTCTTAAAATTAATTTATTTTATGTTTTTTATACATTGATTTTTAGTAAAAATAATTAAGATAATATTGAATATATGGTATAGATACTTATTACATTGTTAATAATTGTGCTAATGATTTAGTAGTTACACTGCTTACTTTTTATACACTTGATTCTATGTTCAAGTCCTCTCCACAATACATTTTTTGAAGAAATTTTAATTTTTCAAATTTGGTTGATTATGTTGATCCGTGATTGGCCTGTTATTCCAATTTTTAAAATCTAAGTTCATTTTGAATATAGTTCGAGTTTGGAGCGTCATCTGAACTATAATTAGGTTCAATCACCGATCCGACCAGCCAATCCGGTCCTGATTTTCAAACATTGCATAATGGTTAAAGCGTTTATGATTTTTCAAATGGTTTTAACCATGAGGGTATATGCTTATTTTTGACTCATAAATAGGTTTGATAACTTCTTTCAATTTTAATTTTTTTTTCTTGACTTAAACCTAGTTAAAATAGTCGACCAAATGATTTCAACCATGAGCGTATATGCTTATTTTTGGCTTATAATTAGGTTTGATAACTATTCTTAATTTTAATTTTTTTCTTAAGACTTAAACCTAGTCAAAATAGCCGACCAAACAGTTTGTGGCTTTTCTTGTTTAAAAAAAAAAAAAAAAAAAAAAAAAAAAAAGTTTTGTTGCTCTTTTTGGTTTTTTAGAGCTGAAAACCAGCTTTTAAAGCAATTGTCCAACTTGATACCATCACCCTAACAGCGATGAGCGGTAGCATGAGGTGGTGGGAAAGAAAGGTGAAAATGAAAATTTATTTTAAAAATAAGTAAATATATATATATTTTCATTTTAAAAAATTTTTTTTTTTTTTTTGAAATCAACGAAAGCAATATATCAAAGGGGAAAAGAAAAAGGGAAACAAAAAGACAAGAAATGGAAGCATAACCAAACTACTGTACAAATTAATTACACAGTCAATGGTTTAGCTGCAAAGAGAGTTTGCACAATTTCTTTGATCAGAACTTCATTTTTACATTAAAATTGGGCAATCGGAGAACACTCAAGCGAAGTAGCTGATGGCAATCATATTTTAGAAAATAACACGACACATTCGCATCACACAAACTACCAAAACAAGTGTTATTACTTGAAATTGATACCAAATATTGCAATTTTTATTCCATTCCAACACCGTAGAACTTAAGAGTCCAAAAAGAAATTTTCCATCAATGGTAGGTGAAATTTCAATATGAAGACTCTTTCCATCCTCCAGAGCTTTCTTCTTGCTCACAAAACACATCCTTACAACCTTCCTATGAAACACGTAAAGGATCCAAAGTAAGCCACCGATAATATTTGTCTAATAGAAATGTTATATATCCAGAAAAGTGCTCAAATTTTGAATGTATGCGTGGATCACACTCATAATGAATCAATCTACACAAATCAAATTTTGAGCATGTTTTAAAGTGTTAGCATTGTTTTTTGTCTAATGCCATTTAGATTCAATTAATTCAAAATCATGTGACTTAAAACCCCACACATATTGCAGAGATTCAAAATTTGACTCAACTGAGATGCAACTTTGACCAGAAATAGTGTCAGTTCTATGTAGAAACCTCAGTTGTTGTTTTTAATATCTTGTCCTTGCTTTGCAACCATAAATGGAAGATCGGAGATATTATAACTAACCTCAGAAGTGAAAGTGAGCCCAATTTTAATTTCTCCATGATATTCTTCATCTTTCACCACATTGTATGAAGCTGTCGCCATGCTTCCTTCCATGAACACTGGCTCAAGTGGAATTCTATAGGATGCAAATTCAAGAAATAAAAAATTACACCAATACTTGCATCGGAAAGTTTACTTAATAACTGTTTCATGTAGCAAGTGGATGTATAGCACATTAAGGGGTCCATTTGGATAGGTGTGGATTTCAAATCAAGATATTTGAGGTTAAATTGATAGAAAAACAATAGAAGAAGATAAGATAGAAAGATATATATTTTAGTAGGATCTTTATAGCTAGAAAGAGAATTGTTAGTATGATTTCAAATAACTAATTTTATGTGGTCATTTCAAATCCATCATGACAAAACTATTTAACTCATCTTGAAATTCATAAGCAAGCTGTCATATCTAGATTTGAGTTATTATCCTTGAATGATTAAGGTCAAATCGCTTGATTTGAAATCCACATCTATCCAAACAGATTCTAATCATTTTCATTGTGTTTTAACAAGAGCTGAAAGAAGTAGATGTGTTTTGGATGGCATCCATGAAAGTCAACCTGTATGGACCAGTTCACTAGGCAAACTAAATTTTCATGAATCAGAGCTAACTAGATTTTTATACTGGACGTGGTGATGCCTGATTTGTATTTACACTAGAAAATAATGACAAGTAAAATGGTATATGCATAAATTTGTTCGCCAAAAAAGATTGGTAGAAAGAGGCTGCTACTCACGTTGCCTCACCCACAAAATCATCTGCTGAAACCATGATCACTGTCCATTATTTTAATTAAAAGTTCTGTAGTGCCATCAGATACAGTAAACAAAAAACTCTCATTCCACTCTGGTTCTGATCCTTTTCCTGCATTAACCATTTGTAAGGGTGAGCATTGTTTACAAGAAGTATTAGGCATCTATGCTAAGTTATATTTGATAAAATTTGAACAAATTCGCGAGACATATATAAATAAATCTTGAAAACTAGAACTGATTAGGAACTTAACCTGATGCAACACTGCTTTTTTGCTCCTGAGTACGACAAGTAAGGATGACATAGGGATCCATGTTACCTGCTCATTATCATCACAAAGACCTCATCAAACAGAAACACAAAGGCCAATTGTCATGAGGTATTGAGATGCAACAGTGATTGTGATCTTTTAAAGTGCAAAGAATACAAGACGGGTTTGACTTATAAAGACCAACCTAACCAAATCCCTTAGAGCAAACTAACCTAAATTTCCAATTTTAATCTATAAAGTTTTGGTAAATGAATAAATAAGATCACACAACTACCAGAAGGCCATCTTCCAGTGAATTCTCTCATCAATCTTGGGTGTTGGGAAGGATTGGAGAAGTATGAAACCTAAGTACATAACCTTTGACTTTCTTAATCATTAGTCTAACAATCACTTATTGTTTTATAACTGACTCCAGTATTATAATCCCACCGAGTATTTTTAAAATAAAAAAAAATTAAAAAATAAAAACAAGTCGAGCGTATTGCTTTGAGGTACTCACATACATAGCTATTCGGATCATAAACGACCCATAGTGGTAGTGAGTTGTTCAAGGAGCTTTTAAAAAATGTGGTCAAGTATAGTAATTTGTTTATCTTTTTTTTTTGGATAGATACAGTAGTTTGTTTATCTTTTAAGCGGATTTCAAAAGAGTTCTAATCAAGCAGATCACAAGCCAAACGTAAGGGTCTTGGTTTTTTATTTAATTTTATATTGGGTATAAACTTATCGAGTTGAGATCAGAAAATTATGTTTATTAAATATATTCAAGTTTAATTGTTTACTGAGTTAATCTTCAACGATCTTTTAACGAGCCTAACATTTTTTACAACTATAATTGCATACGAAAATATTGACTACCCACAGAACATATCATGTATATTGAATAAACAATTACATAGATGAAACCAACTAATTCATGCTTTGTGTTAGTGTAGCATTATTTTAGTGTATCATTATGTTAGTGTAGTGCATTATGTTAGTGCATCATTATCTTTGTGTAGTGTAGCATTATGTTAGTGTATCATTATGTTAGTGTAGTGCATTATGTTAGTGCATCATTATCTTTGTGTAGTGTAGCATTATGTTAGTGTATCATTATGTTAGTGTAGTGTAGCATTATGTTAGTGTAGCATTATGTTAGTGTATCATTATGTTAGTGTAGTGCATTATGTTAGTGCATCATTATCTTTGTGTAGTGTAGCATTATGTTAGTGTATCATTATGTTAGTGTAGTGCATTATGTTAGTGCATCATTATCTTTGTGTAGTGTAGCATTATGTTAGTGTATCATTATGTTAGTGTAGTGCATTATGTTAGTGCATCATTATCTTTGTGTAGTGTAGCATTATGTTAGTGTATCATTATGTTAGTGTAGTGCATTATGTTAGTGCATCATTATCTTTGTGTAGTGTAGCATTATGTTAGTGTATCATTATGTTAGTGTAGTGCATTATGTTAGTGCATCATTATCTTTGTGTAGTGTAGCATTATGTTAGTGTATCATTATGTTAGTGTAGTGCATTATGTTAGTGCATCATTATCTTTGTGTAGTGTAGCATTATGTTAGTGTATCATTATGTTAGTGTAGTGCATTATGTTAGTGCATCATTATCTTTGTGTAGTGTAGCATTATGTTAGTGTATCATTATGTTAGTGTAGTGCATTATGTTAGTGCATCATTATCTTTGTGTAGTGTAGCATTATGTTAGTGTATCATTATGTTAGTGTAGTGCATTATGTTAGTGCATCATTATCTTTGTGTAGTGTAGCATTATGTTAGTGTATCATTATGTTAGTGTAGTGCATTATGTTAGTGCATCATTATCTTTGTGTAGTGTAGCATTATGTTAGTGTATCATTATGTTAGTGTAGTGCATTATGTTAGTGCATCATTATCTTTGTGTAGTGTAGCATTATGTTAGTGTATCATTATGTTAGTGTAGTGCATTATGTTAGTGCATCATTATCTTTGTGTAGTGTAGCATTATGTTAGTGTATCATTATGTTAGTGTAGTGCATTATGTTAGTGCATCATTATCTTTGTGTAGTGTAGCATTATGTTAGTGTATCATTATGTTAGTGTAGTGCATTATGTTAGTGCATCATTATCTTTGTGTAGTGTAGCATTATGTTAGTGTATCATTATGTTAGTGTAGTGCATTATGTTAGTGCATCATTATCTTTGTGTAGTGTAGCATTATGTTAGTGTATCATTATGTTAGTGTAGTGCATTATGTTAGTGCATCATTATCTTTGTGTAGTGTAGCATTATGTTAGTGTATCATTATGTTAGTGTAGTGCATTATGTTAGTGCATCATTATCTTTGTGTAGTGTAGCATTATGTTAGTGTATCATTATGTTAGTGTAGTGCATTATGTTAGTGCATCATTATCTTTGTGTAGTGTAGCATTATGTTAGTGTATCATTATGTTAGTGTAGTGCATTATGTTAGTGCATCATTATCTTTGTGTAGTGTAGCATTATGTTAGTGTATCATTATGTTAGTGTAGTGCATTATGTTAGTGCATCATTATCTTTGTGTAGTGTAGCATTATGTTAGTGTATCATTATGTTAGTGTAGTGCATTATGTTAGTGCATCATTATCTTTGTGTAGTGTAGCATTATGTTAGTGTATCATTATGTTAGTGTAGTGCATTATGTTAGTGCATCATTATCTTTGTGTAGTGTAGCATTATGTTAGTGTATCATTATGTTAGTGTAGTGCATTATGTTAGTGCATCATTATCTTTGTGTAGTGTAGCATTATGTTAGTGTATCATTATGTTAGTGTAGTGCATTATGTTAGTGCATCATTATCTTTGTGTAGTGTAGCATTATGTTAGTGTATCATTATGTTAGTGTAGTGCATTATGTTAGTGCATCATTATCTTTGTGTAGTGTAGCATTATGTTAGTGTAGCATTATGTTAGTGTAGTGTTATTTAATTGTTCATAGACATCCAAGGCATCCTCTATAAATAGAGTGCCTTCTTTGTGTAATTGAAATACAACATATAGAAACAATTGTGCCTCTCTCTCTCTCTCTCTATTCGCTCATCTCTATCTTCTCTTACTTTCTCCAATTATTATTTCACTTTGCATTAGAATTTTGAGATCATGTTAGTACAAAATTCGAACTAAAATGGTCTTCATAGCAAATCCAAGATCTGAAATTCGAGATCAAGTAAATTTGAACTAAAAATGGTCCTCAATCCTCGTAGCAATTCCAAGATGCGAATTTTAGATTGATAAAATAGCAGTTCGTATATACACACAAAGTTATAACTCTTATTTTCTTTCGATTTCTTCAGCATCAAGACACAAGACAGAAATGGAAAAACAAAAGTCAACAATTTGATCGATACAGATCAGATGGAAGAAGATCAAATGATAGAAATAAAAAAAAGCATATATTTTGAAGGAAAACTCACTGAGAAAATCAGTGTTCTCAAGACCCTTGGCGCCAACAAGAAGGACTTCAAGCGTTCCTCGAGGCATTTTCCCGAGAAAATAAGAGACTGAAAGGTGATCGATTTCTCGAAAACTGAATCGCAGGAATTCCCTCTTCTTGCATACGAGTGTGTTGACCGGGTTATTTATACACGGTTTGGGCCGGTCCGAATGGAATCGAATCGACAAGACCCGACTTCGGAGCCGAAGCCAATAAAATTGCGACGCGGTTTGGTCAAGTATGCGCAAGCATTTTCAGCTGTACATTCTTTTTTTTTTTTTTCATTGAATTTGAATAAAAGTTTTTTTTTTTTTTTTTTAAAAAAATTTTTTTTTTTTTTTTTTTTTTTTTTTTTTTTTTTTTTTTTTTTTTTGATATTAAGTGTTCAAACAGGCGATTTTGAGTAGACGATTGACGGGTTGATCAGTCAGTGTAATTTTTTCATAAATTTTTTCTTCTAAGTGGTCATTTGAAAACATCCAGTGATAAAAATTTAATGACAATAAACAATGATTTGATAAAAAACACATCAATTCTTAATTTGATAAAAGATTTAAAAAATCATAGATTTGATGAACCGTTAAAAGAGCAAAAGACCTTGTTTGGTTTGTATTTGAGAAACATGTTTTGAGATAAAAAGTATGAAAATTTGTTTGGTTTTGTTTTTTTTTAAAAGATGTTTTGAAAAATTATTTTGAGAGAGAGTTTTGACAAAAGTGATTGATTTGCTGTGTATGAGAGAGAGATTTGTTTGGAAAATTTGTAAACCAAACAAGTTTTGAAAATTTTTTTTGAGAAAATTTGTTTGGTTTGATTACTTTTTGAAAACTTATTTGTAAAGAATTTTTCCCAAAATTTTTTGAGAAACACAAACCAAATAAGGATTTGTTTGGTTTGGTTTTTTTTTATCAAATTTAAATTTGATCATGAATTTGAACAATAGAAGATGGTCTAAGTCAAATTTTTTTTTTTCTTTTGAATAGGTGATTAATAAAATTTAAAAGAGTATTGATATTCAGACTTAAAAATTATATCACTCATGTTATGAAGATGCTTGGGTGATAATTAAATATTACTTAATTATCAATCAATCATCTTATTTATATTTATTGAATTTAAAAAATAAATTTAAAAAGTAAATTTGTATATATTTTTTAAGTTAAAATAATGATATATGTTTTATATCGCACACTTTAATATAGAATTTAAAATAAAATTTGTTAACATATATTGGAAGTACACTAGTTAATAAAATTCAAAAAAACTATGTGCGCCCCAAATATTACGGACAAATTTTGTGGGACAAATTGTGTGTAGGACAATATTTTGAAAATCAGATCGGTGAGTAAATTAAAGGGAAATTTGGTTATAAATCCTTTTTATTTTTCTTTTATTGTTAAAAGGATTAAGAAAAAAATTAAATTTTTTAAATCCCTTCATAATTATAAAATCTTGCATAAAGGACAAAATTTATTATTTAAATATTTTTTCAGACTATTATACCCTCAACTAAATCTTCCCACCTTCTCCACCCACTCTCTCTCTCCACCTTCTTGGTCTCTATAGCAGATCAAATTCATTGAAACAATAACACTAACAGATCATCAGAATCAATCAGACAAAGAATATAGCAGTTTCGATTACCAGAAATAGTTCGACATTGAAGGACCTAATCCTCATCTTCCAAGCAATTGAGAGGCAACAGATCACAAGAAGTATCGCGTTTTCTTCTTCATTTGACGAGATAACTTCCTGGATCTCTTTTGGCTTCGCTATTTGATACAAATGAAATTCGTAAAAAACGTAAGAGACGTGATCCATAAGTTTTCGTTGTAATGTTATATAATATTTTCCTCCATTTTCTCAGCACACAAACGGAATCGATCTATAATATTTGTGTGTATGAGCGTTGTAATGTTATATACATATTTATGTGTATGAGTGTTGTTGAACACATGTATTCTTTTCATTGAGATTTGTGATTGTTGATCGAGTTTTAGAAGTTTTTCTTCTCAATTAGATATGTTGATTTGTTGATTAATTTGTTTTGTTTTTGTTTGTTTGTTTGTTTTTGATTTATTTTTGTTATTTTTTATCTAATTTCATTTGACAGAACCAGAGTAAAATTTTACTTTTATATGGAGTAAAATTTTACTTTAGTGTAGAGTCTAACATTTTACTCATTTTTCAGAGTAAAATTTTACTTTTATACAAAGTAAAATTTTACTTTTGTGTAGAGTCTAACATTTTACTAGTTTTTCAGAGTAAAATTTTACTTTTATACAGAGTAAAATTTTACTCTGAAATATATAGTGAAGATGACTTAATAGGAGAGCTGATAGATATGAGGGTAATATAGTAAAAGAAACAAGTTTTAAAATATTAGGAGGTTTTGAAAATAGTTATATAATTCTTGTCATTTTGAAAGACAAATTAGATAGTGAGGGGACTACCACCAAATCCCCCTAAATTAAAAAAGAATTAGATGGACGGGTCACCAGTTCAACTGTCAAGTTGAAACAGTCGCAACGTGATGTCATAATTATATTATAAATATATTTAAAAATATATTTATTAAAAATATAAGTATTAAAATGAAAAAAAATTAATTCAACAAAATAATAGAATTTTCAAAATATTTGCAAGATGAGTATATATATATTTATTTATTTTTGCAAGATGAGTGCTAAAATATATCATTAAAAAATTAATTTACCAAACCATTAACTAACAGCTATGAAATCAAAAATTTATTATAAAAATTATTTATAAATTTTTAAAAATATTTAGTGGTTATTATTATTCCATCATTGACTTTTGTTTGCCTCAATGTTTTTTGGTTTGTTTAAACATGATAATGACTATAAAAATAATAAAAAACAGATTCTTCTTCTCCTTCTTCTTTTTGAATGAAATTAAATTCAATGTTGGATTAACTATTTCATGAGTATATTTTTTTTGCAATTCTTTTGTGCCAAGAATTGCTAGAAAACTCAACCACAAGAAGACTTATGATGGTTACAAATATTAAGAATAATAACAACACAAATAAATAGAGATAAACAATTTTTGACTTTTTGAATATTTTAGTTTGGGCTAAAAAATTTCATTTGAGTTAGACTTTTTGACTTTTTTAATTTTTGTGAGAGAAAAAATAAGATAATTATGATTTGAATTTGATATTTGATATTATTGAATTTTTAACATATTTTTTTTTTTTTTGACTAATTCAACTTAATAACTACATGCCAAACGAGGACTATGTGGTTCGACCAAACAAACGTCCATAGTCAATTCCACAAGTAATAATTTTCACTATCAAATTGGAACAAATGGTCAAAAACTGTAATTTGATTTTTTCAATCTCTCATCAAAACTCAAATGTATTTTAACTTATAAATATTAGAAAAAGAAGTCCAACCCAAGTTTCCAAACCCAAAATACAAATAATGGGATTGTTGTTTTCAAATTGAGGTTTCCTAGTAATTCAATCCAATCTAAAACCAATAAAAAATACCTAACATTGTCAAATGGATTTATTTGGAAATTGATTTTTTAATATTTTTTTTATATAAAAAGAAAGAGAGAACGAGTTACTTTTTGCCTTAATTTTTTGGGAGACTTATATGTTGGTCTTAATAGGTGGATTTATTGTCAATAGGTCAGATGATAATTAATGATATTTTTATAAAAAAAAATGTCATTAATTGTTAATTTTCAGTAACAATTTAAAAATTTTATCATAAAAAATGTCACTAATTATAAGTTTTAGCGACAGTTTAAAAAATCATCACAAAAAGTCACTAATTTTCAACTTTTAATGACAGTTTGGAAATTCGTCATAGAAAAATGTCATTAATTGTAAGTTTTGGTGACAATATATAAAAATTGTGACAAAAAAAAGTCACTAATTGTCAATTTTTAGCGACGTATACAAAATATCGTCACAAATTATTTTTAGTGATGATTTTACTAAAACTTTTCAATAAAACTTGATGAGAATTAAGTCTACCTATTAAAAGCTATTGATGATTTACTTAACTTTGTGGCTAATTTTTGTTCAACAAGAAATAGAATACCTAAAACACTTCCCTACATAAAAACCAACCCTTTTTTCTTCAAAATTAATTGCATGAATTTTATTAAAATTTGTGTTCGAACCTCCGTAATTGTTATGTTCTGCACCATTTTTTTGTTTGATCTCTCAACTTGTTTATAGTCTTTTTTTTATAAAATTCGCTGGGCATCTTAATCACATGTAAAGGAATGTTCTAAAAAAAAATTCATAATGTTTTAAAGTTGTTTGGTTGCTCTGATTTGCGGTGGAAATTACACATTTGGACTTTATTGTTCTAATTATTATTTTTGCAGATTTTTAGCAAAATTTTCTCTCTTAAGCAGTGCGAAATTTTTTAGAAACTATTTTATGTATGTTATACATGTGTTTTTATCAACTGAAATCATTTGGAGTTTCCTAATCAAATTTTGTGGGCATCTTAATCAGTGGTGTATTAATTAATATAAATAATTATATATATGTTAGCAGATATTTTAATATTATAATGTATTAATGTGTTATTGTTGGTTTTCCTTTTCTTTCCCTCTAAGTTTCCAAGTCTTGGTATTTGTCCACCAAAACTTATCCATCTAGTCATCATCAAGTATTCGCCAAGACTTTCAAGTCTAAGTCTTCTAAGTCTACCATGCTTATCCTTTCAAGTCCATCCGTTCCTTATCCACTTAGAACCTTGCCTATTAAGTTTTGATTTCTATATATATTTGAGCTTAGGTCCTATCTAGAGGGACACGAGAGATGAAGAAGTTTTGGGTTGCTTTGTTAGGTCTAATGTGAGATTATCAGGCAAATAAAAAAGGGTGTGTGTGATAAAGCTTTGAGTTCAACTAATTATGCAGTATTGGTGAACCATACGACTTAGTCGGGCTGTTGTATCCTGGGGGACAAGTCACGATTTTTCTGCTGCACTGGTACGAGGCTTTGCCTAACCGCAGAGGGCTTGAATCTCTTTAAAGAGAGCGAATTTCCCGCGCCTCAACCCTTATATTAATTGTTGTAACTTTTATTTTGTGTATTTTCTGGTGTTTTATTTGTAAGTATTACCAACAATATATAATGTTAATAATTTTCTAAAGTCATTTACTCAC